CATTCACCGCTTCTGGAGGCAGGTTGTTCCACTGGTTAATTGTTCTAACTGTCAGGAAGTTTCTCCTTAGTTCTAGGTTGCTTCTCTCCTTGATTAGTTTCCATCCGTTGCTTCTTGTCCTGCCCTCAGGTGCCTTGGAAAATAGCTTGACTCCCTCTTCTTTGGGGCAGCCCCTGAGATATTGGAACACTGTTATCATGTCCCCCCTCGTCCTTCTCTTCATTAAACTAGACATACCCAATTCCAGCAGCCTTTCCTTATATGCTTTGGCCTCCAGTCCCCTGATCATCTTTGTTGCTATTTAGCTGGACCCTGTACGGTGAGTGGCTTAGTCCATTGGAGAGAAAACAACAAAGTCATGAGAACAGGGCCAGCAAATTGAAACCTGCTGAATAATGCACAATCCAGAAGTTACGGCTAAGTCAGGAGCTTTATCCAAGGAATACAGCTTCCATTACTTCTATTTTTTTTTTAAAAAAAATGTCAGTGCATTACGGCATTGCAAACTCGGCCTTGAACCGTTGCAAAAGATCTGAATCAGGAAGCAATTTCCAGGAATACTTAAGTACAATATAGATAAAAACTTAAATGTTTTCGCTGACTCAAACTCTAGATCTGGAGAGACCGGGAACGTATTAATTCACCCTTTTTAAACCCTTGTTGTCTATCACACTCGGCCAATTGTACTTAAGTATTAACTACACTACTTAAATCAGTGGTTCTCAACCTGTGGGTCGGGACCCCATTTGGGGTCGATCGACCATTTCACGGGGGTCGCCAAGCAAGGCTGTCCGCCATTTTTTTTGTCCGCCATTTTTTTCCCCTCTTCCGGCGGGTGCCTTACCTCCCTTGGGCTGGGCCAGCTGGTGGTCGGCCTGCTCCGTCTCTGCCACTTGCCAGCTACGCCTCGGCTGGCGCAGGGGGCGGAACCACGCATGCACGGCGCTCCCGGGCAGGGAAAGTCCTCGACTTACGACCGGTTGGGTGGTCCTCAACTTACGACCGGTTTAGTCCTCGACTTACGACCGGTTTAGTCCTCGACATGACTGGTTTAGTCCTCGACTTACGACCGGTTGGGGTCGCGGCATTAAAAAGGTTGAGAACCACTGACTTAAATGTACACTGAGAACGTATGAAGGCTTTTAGAGATGGAGGAAAAGCAATAATCGGTAACAATGCTAGTAGCCACGGTTTCGGCTGCCAAAAGTCTGGGTTTAGCTATTCAACATTTTCTCTGCCGATCTTTCTAGCGCTGCTTTGGGATTTCGGGATTTATTGATCTAAAATCTATTGATCTATTGACTCCTAACGCCCTGGAGACATTCCTGGGTCTTACGTTATTCTGTCTAAACAAGAAAAGTAAGAAGTGTTATAAATCGGTGCTGTGCGGAGGACTGTTCTACCCCACTAGCTTAAAATGCCTTCTTCCTTGCTCCAAGTGAGGCCCCTGGGTCTTGAAAAACTGCCCTAAATAGAAATATGTAATTAATTTCTTCATTTTAACTGATTACAGAGCTTCAGGGAAAAAACTTTGCTGTCATATCCTCTCTCTCTCTCTTTCCCTCCCTCCCCCTCTCCCTCTCTCTCTTTCCCATCTTCTCATTCTCTCTTTCTCTGCTGACTTGCTGTCTCTTATCCCCCCCCCATCTTCCTTAGTTTTCCACCTTTCCCTCCCTTTTTATCTCTCCTGACCGGTCCCCCTTTCTGGTCTCCTTTTTTTTTTGCGTCATCTCTTCATCCTTTTCTCTACAAGCGCACCCATTTGCAGTCCTGCTCAAGGAGAGTCTGATTCCCTTTATTCCAGGTTTCCCCCTTATATCTATATTCTCTTAAGTTTTCCCCATCACCTCATTTTATCTATTCCACTACATTTCCTCCTGATTCTTCCTCTTCCCTTGCAATCCCTTTTGGTTCTCCCTGTTTTTCTTCTTCGATACTTCCTAGACAGGATTTTGATAATTCGCTCTCTTTTGATCCCTTTCGCTTTGTGTTTCCTTTCCTTTCCTTCAATCTCTCGTATAGTACTTATTTTCCTCATTTCCCTGTCTAATGCATCTGCAATCCTACCCATTTTTCTTATCTTTCTGTATTGTTTTTCTCCCCGTCAACCCAATAGCCCTCTAATCCAGTGGTTCTTAAACTGTTTGACCCAATTAACCTAGTCTCCAATAATTTTATTACAACCGGAATCTTCTTTTGCAAGCACCTCGGCAACCATAGCCCTAAACTGAATCCCCGACTCACAAATGACCGATTACAAATTTATCCATCACCCCCAGAATATGCCCCAATTACCCTAGTTTAAGAACCACTGTTCTAATCCTTAGGGCAGTGATGGCGAACCTTTTAGAGATCGAGTACCTAAAAACTGGCCCCGCCCCTGCTCCACCACCTGCCCCGTCCCCACCTGCCTGCCCGCAGGGCCACTCACCACCTCCAGGGCCCGCCGCAGATCGCCCAGGCAGCTCAGCAGCGCCATGGCGGCCATGCCCTCTGCCCATGCCCCGCAGCATCAACTGTGCACGATGGGGCATGAGGGCAGAGTCTTGTCTACGCTGCCTGGCTGCCATGTCCTTGGCTGCGCTGCTCCACGTGGGCCACGCTCAGGGACGACTCTCCTCCGGGGGGGGCTGCTGGTGAGGAGGGGGTCGTGGGGGGAGACAAGGCTGGGGCAACGGCACGTGTGCCCACAGAGAGGGCTCCGAGTGCCGCCTCTGGCACCCGTGCCATAGGTTCGTCACCACTACCTTAGGGTAAGGCTCTGATTGCATGCTTAGGGCTGCCATTTTGACTTTTTTTGACCTTCTATGGCATATCCCCCTGCCTCTGATACTGCACCAAAGCTCCAACTTTTCTATTTCTTAATCCTCGCTTTCCCGTCGTTTACCTCCTCAGGAATCTTTGAACCTGCAGACTCGGCTGCTGGAGCCAATGTTCCCAGATCCTCTGAGCATGCCTGATTTCCTGCCACGCCTTCTGGACCAGTGCGTGCTGCTGGAGGGGGTCCGGGCGGAGGGATCCTGTGTTTCTGGCACCATCCGTGTGCTCAACCTGGCCTACGAGAAAAGGGTCTGTGTGCGATACACTTGGGACTTTTGGGCTACCGAGCACGAGGCTCGGGCTTCTTACGCCGCCTCTGCAGGGCGGGACCGGGACCACGCTGACCGCTTTGCCTTCCGCCTGCCGCTGCCCGTTCCGCTCTCTGCAGGGATGGTGCTCGAGTTTGCCCTCTGCTATCTGGTGGGAGGGAAGGAATTCTGGGACAACAACCAGGGACGCAACTACTCTCTGCGGCCTCCTCCTTGCGTGGCTGAAGAAGACGAACTCCCCAGCCCCATTCAAGATTGCTGTGAAACTGGCTGGATACACTTTCTGTAGAGAAGAACAGACGAGGAGGCGTGTTGAAACTTAAGTTGGATGGGGAAAGTGGACAATCCAGGTTGAAATCCGAAGGTACACAGGCATGCAGGCACACAGCCCCAAGCACCCCAGAATTGATGCGGACAATTGGATTTGCTTCCTTTTTTCCCAGCATGCTTTTCACCAAGCCCACATTCATGGCTTACAGCTTTCGCGATCTCCGACAGTGCATTCCCACAACCCCTGAAAATCGGCCACCGTCTTGCAAGGAGGGCCACTCTTCGTTTAGATTTGCTGACTTGCTCGCAATCCAGATCCAGTCCACCGTGTCGATGTTGAGCGAGGAAGTCACCCTATTTGGGGGGGGGGGGTCTCCTTCAAGTTAGAAAAGATCAAGGGCAGAAATGTCCATGAGGGAAAGGTCAAAAAAAAAAAAGTCAAAATGCTAGCCGCGACGATGTCATCAAAGATCTGAGTTCTACTCTCCCATCCTATAACCTAACGTTGACAGCCTGGAGATTTTGGAGAGAAAGGGATCAAAGTAAAAGAGAATAACAGAAGACCAACAAAGATGATTAGGGGTCTGGAGGCTAAAACATATAAGGAACAGTTGCTGGAATTGGGGATGTCTCGTTTAATGAAGAGAAGGACGAGGGGGGACATGATAGCAGGGGCTGCCCCAAAGAAGAGGGAGTCAAGCTATTCTCCAAAGCGCCTGAAGGCAGGACAAGAACCAACGGATGGAAACTAATCAAGGAGAGAAGCAACCTGGAACTAAGGAGAAATTTCCTGACAGTGAGAACAATTAAGCAATGGAACAACCTGCCTCCAGAAGCGGTGAATGCTCCAACACTGGAAGTTTTTAAGAAGAGACTGGACAGCCATTTGTCTGAAATGGTATAGGGTTTCCTGCCTGAGCAGGGGGTTGGACTAGATGACCTCCAAGGTCCCTTCCAACTCTCTTATTCTGTTCTGTTCAAATGCCCAGCTTATACTGCTAGGCCATTGAGTCCTCTATCTTCCAGATACTTCCCTTTATGAATGAGAAGTTTGGAAAAAAAAGAGAGAGAGATCTGTATCTAGATGAATGAAGAACATAGATTTTCTTCAATTTCCTGTTTTCCTTGCCTTGGGGTGTTAGTCTGGATCTCCATCCCAAGGGATTCTTGCATATGCCGTTTCCTCATTTTTCTGCATGAATGAATGTATCAACACTTCTCTTTGCATCCTATTTTACTTCTATGCTGGCTGGTTAAAGAAAAAAACAACCAATCACACTTGTTATTCCTGATGGGGTATTTCTTACTATTTTACCACGCATCGTGGACTCTGATCCATCTTAATGTTTTTTTAGACCCAGTAAAAGTCTAGAAAAGCTATTGTAGAAATGGCAGGCCGTGTTTTAGCATAAGCTGCAGATTGGGGGTGTATTTATGGGGAGGAGGGAGAAACCCCTAATGTTTTAATCACTTCTTTGCTTAATGGATTTCTAAGTTCTTTTCCAACACAATACTAAAACAAAAAACCTTCATAACGTCTGAACAGCACTCACACAATAGCGGATAATGGGTATTGGTATTTCCCAGGATTTTGCAACGTGGGCAATTCAGTTCCCAGAATTCTCAGCAATGGCCAAAGCGGCGAGGGGATTCTGGGAATTAAAATCCGAGGTGCCATTTCTGGAACAAGTAGTTGGACCCAACGGGCATTCAGAAGAACCTTAAGAATTGCAGGTTTTATAACGCCGCCTCCAGGTCAGCGTTTCTGAAGCTCGGGAACTTTTAAGACGTGTGGACTTCAACTCCCAGAATTCCCTCGCCGGCATAGCCGGCTGAGGAATTCTGGGAGTTGAAGCCCACACCACTTAAAAGTTGCTGAAATTGAGAAATTCCACTCCAAGTTCTGCTGCGTTTTTTCTCTAAGCTGATCTCCTAGGGTTTTGTAACTGGAAGAGTTAGAATGAAGATGGGGATCTTTTGGGGGGGGGCACTATTAGAAATTCTAGGAACCCCATTATTGGTCCTGCCACCCATGATCACACGACCTTGTCTGGCTGCACACCAAAGACCCAATTATTGAAAGCATTCCAAGTATTTATCGGGTTATATAAAAGCAATAATCAGCCCAATCGTTTAATTATTGGCGCATCTGTGTGTCTGATTGAGTGGTGAATTTAAGGCAGAGACTGGGATGGATCTGTTTCTACTAGATACCAAACAAACTTACATTCATTCATTCATGTTAATAACTGGACAAGCCAAGGGGTGGGGGGGAAATGAATCATCTCTCAAAATAAACACGGAAGGAAAACCCAGAGATTCCTAATTCAAGGTTTATGCCCAGGAAGTATACATTTGGGCCTAAAGATCTGCAGTTCTTTTAATCCAGGGAATCCTGGGGAGGGGAACGGGAGGGGGAGGCTGGAGGAAAAGTGGGGTTTTCAAGATAGACCCCTCCTCCAATGGGAGATCTTGGCTTGCCCGGCACAGCAGCTTTGTTGTTGTTATCCTCTTGTGCAAAGAGCTTAATAGTGAGGCTTTGTTGAAGGGCCAAAGTGTCTGCCTTATCAGATGGGGAAGATAAGATAAGAAATGGGGAAACAAAGGAGGATGCAGCTGGGAGAAGGAAGAGAGGAAGAGGAAGGAAGGAGGGAAGGAAGGAAGGAGAGAAAAAAGGGAGGGAGAGGAATGAGGAGAAGGTAGGAAGGGAAAGAGGGAGGGTGTGTGGGTGGAAGAGGAAGAAAGGAGGGAGAGAAGGAAGGGAAGGAAGGGGAGAAAGAGAGAGAGATAAGGAAGGGAGGGGAATGGGGAGGAGAAGTAGGAAAGAAAGAGGGAGGGTGGAAGAGGAAGGAAGGAAGGAAGGAGAAAAGGGAGGGAATATGGGAGGGAGGAGAGAAGGAAGGGAGAGAGAGAGAAAGAAAAGGAAGGGATGAGGAAAAGATGGAAGGAAGGAAGGAAGGAAGGAAGGAAGGAAGGAGAGGGTGGAAGGAAGGAAGGAAAGGAAGGAAGGAGAAAATGGAGGGAGAGAATATGGGAGGGAGAGAGGGAGGGAGGGAGAGGAAGGAAGGAGAAAGGGGAGGGAATGTGGGAAGGAAGAGAGAAGGAAGGGAGAGAGAGAAAGAAAAGGAAGGGAGGGATGAGGAAAAGATAGGAAAGAAGGAAGGAAGGAAAGGAAGGGAGAGAACATGGGAGGGAGAGAGGGAGGGAAGGAGAGGAAGGAAGGAGAAAAGGGAGGGAATGTGGGAAGGAGGAGAGAAGGAAGGGAGAGAGAGAAAGAAAAGGGAGGGATGAGGAAAAGATAGGAAGGAAGGAAGGAAGGAAGGAGAGAGGGTGGAAGAGGAAGGAAGGAAGGGAAGGAAGGAGAAAAGGGAGGGAGAGAATATGGGAGGGAGGGAGAGAAAGGAAGGAAGGAGAAAAGGGAGGGAACATGGGAGGGAGGAGAGAAGGGAGAGAGAGAGACAGAAAAGGAAGGGAGGGATGAGGAAAAGATAGGAAGGAAGGAAGGAAGGAGAGGGTGGAAGAGGAAGGAAGGAAGGGAAGGAAGGAGAAAAGGGAGGGAGGGAATACGGGAGGGAGAGAGAGAAGGAAGGAAGGTAGAGAGGGAGGGAGGAGGGAAAGAAGGGAGGGAGAGAAGAAAGGAAGGAAAGATGGGAGGGAGGGGAGCAAGGAAGGAAGGAGAGAAAGAAGGGAAGGAAGCCCCCCCCCCAAATCGCGACTTGCCTAAAGAGAAGCCGGGAGGAGCCCCCCCCCACCTGCCCCTTCCTCCTGCCTGCCCCGAAACAGTCGTCCGCATTTGAGGGGGGGGGAAGGAGGCCCGATCTCCCACCGACCATCCCCCGCCTTCCCATCCCGCGCCCCCCCTTCTCCCCTCCGCCTCCTCCTCTTCCTCCTCCTCCTCCCAGAGAAAACGGGGGGGGGGGCGTCCCAGCTTCGTCCCTTCCCCCGCCCCGAAAGACGGCCGCCGAGTCTCCGCTCGCCCAGGTAACTCCCTCCGCGCTTCAGCCGCTTTTTCTTCCTCCTG